AGTCGCTCGCTCGGGGACGAGGACGAAACTCAACGCACTCAAAATGGACTGCTCGTCATCAGGCGACGTCGGCTGCCGTTTAGCGGCCGGAATATTGATGAAAATGCCGCTCGCATGCTTTGGCGCTGTACATTAGGCTGTTCTAAGGCCATGATAGTTTAACAAACGGGAGACATGTTAGTCATTCGCTGTAATCATTTACGCCATGTTTATGGCTTGTTGCTTTGCTTACCGTCATAACACAGTGCATACTCATGCACTGGCGTTGTACTCAAAGGCGATCTCGATCTACAGGAGCGCTTATTTGCATTGTTAGTCGGCTACAATTCTATTTCTACACAAGGTTAGCGTATAAATAAATTAGCCATAACTAATTAACTCTAACAGGCAGGCGCGAGGAACCCAAAGCATGTACAACTAAGTCTAATGAACGCTTACCGCGAAGTTCCGGTTCGTGGCGGATGCTAAAATGGCAAGCGCACAAGTAGACGTAAATCATCTGGTTTGACCAAAATATCGGCCCGTCGCTGCTCACTTGCACGCTCATGTTGTCATGTCCGGAAATGCCATTGCTTCGGAATATGACGTACAACCACACGGCTGATGTGTCCTTGTCATAGCTGTCCAGGATCAGTCGTTGCCAGCGTTTAGACGTCGCCTCAGCCTTGCACCTCGTCCGCAGGTCCACGTGCCTAAATATCCTCACGCACAACAGCTCGGGCAGTACGTCGGTAAAGTCGACGGCCGACATCGCTGCTACTAGCAGTATCTAAACAAGCGGCGTTAGCCACGAATGATAGCCAAGCCGGGCGGGGCGCGATCGGCGGCAACGCGATCGACGCAATGGATAAATAATGCTCATTAATATTTGTTCATATTTCCTGCAGATCATAGACAAAGCTACCAGCAGGCAAACCAACTGTTCTCGAATTATAACCGTTGTGTTTGTGTCGGCTTCTGAATCGGGTGCCAGAGCGGTTAGGCAGCACAGGACCGCAGCTGCATCGTGAGCAGTCAGTGGAGGTCAGCGATAGAAGACAGCTCATGCGGTCCAACGTCGCATGTCAGCCACTTTAACACTGACAGAAATCCTACAACCGTCGCTTTCACTCATCGCATACAAACCGAGCGTTTTCCGCGAGTGAGTTTGTTGCCAACTTCGAACTATATTACGTCGTTTCTTAAAGAGAGCCAAAAATTATGTTAAATCATCGCTGGAAAGCAAGTTAAGCATTAAAACTTATAGTCTGATACTGTGTTGACACTCTATCGCACACGCTGTCAAGCTTACAACAATGGATTGCTGCCCAATAGGGAGTGATACGAAAACGGTATGGATTATCATGTCAGATTTCTTTTCTCCATTCAGCGAAAACCGTCCGTGCAGCGTCGTTGTTGGAATAGAAGTAAAAGACCAGACTGAAAAGCCTTAGTGATTCTTAACGATCCTTGAAACGAAGACCAGCGCCAACCGACCGGAATTGGAATCGCAAAGGCAATGAAATGAAATCGCTGCCTTTCTGGTTTGAAGCACAGATCTGCATTGCCAACTGCGCAGCGACAGCCCCTTCGCCGTTGTATCTAACCGGGCGAACCAAACGAGGCAATAGTCAAAGCATTCTCACTGTCTGAGATGACGACCGAATCGGTGATTACCTGAGCAGCATTGCTTGACTGCTAACACGTTGATTCCGGTTATTGCGCTTTGCTAACGAACTGATTTTCACACTTCGAATTTATATTAAATTGATCAAATCAAATTTATTTCAGCTCTTTATCAACTTTCAAGCATAACTTATTTATCTATCACAAACCAACCAAGGAACCGACACCACACACGACGCGACAACGCGCTTATTTTTAAGAGCATTTATTTCGATATTCAAAAGTCGTCATTCACTTCGAGAAGAATAACTTCTTTCTTTATAGACTGCTATCATTCGCCCATTTTCCGTCGCTAGCCAACCGTTCTGCGCTTAGCTGCTTTGTACCGGCAGCGATAGCGTCTGCGACAATGCAGCCGTTTCCACCTCGTCTGTAACATTCTCTTGCTCGGTCTTCGCCAGGTCTTCCAAAGATGACAGCTGTGACAGCAGCTCTGACGTGTGAGTATGTTCCTCGGTCGAATCGGCTCCGGCCAGAAACGTCCTCAGACCCTTCAGAGGACCTTTGACGATCATCAGCTGCGGACGTAAACGTTCGAAGTCCGCAATCGACGTATAATTGAGGCAGTCGTGCAACACGATCTGCCGTATTACTTGCTTGTTGGCCAGCTTTTCTGCACAAGCATTGGATATGCTAGCCAGATTCATCTCTCTCAAGTACAGTATGGTCACGTTGCGCAGATTTTCTATGGCCGCGCTAAAAAAGCTGTCCGTCATGAATGGAGTACCAACCGGGCAGTCAACTATGCATAATCGCTGTGTCAGAGGAGCCAAGCGAATCAAAAGACCTGAAAATAATTTTCTGCTTAAATTAAAAGTCAACGGGTTCCACACGCATAAAACTTTTGACTTTGATCTGATTTTACGATTTCATTTAATTTAAATTACATCTGTTTCAGAATTGATGGTGCTGCGAAGGAATGCTGTGCTTTTCTAGTAAACGCAAACAAAAATTTTCATCCAGTTTGATTGCTGAAAGTTGCTATTATGAAAATTCAATTTACAAAATGAAGCGAATGAGTCAATGAGTGTGGCGTTTAAGTGTAGTATATTGTTAATATGCATTTTGATTACCAACAGCTCAGAAAACCTACGTAGCATTTAGATCGAATCATGCCACTTCTCAACGAGCACGTCATTGGCTCTCAGATGGCCGCTGAATCAGAGCAAAGTCTAGCAATATGGAAAATTGTACTACTTTGTAGAATACCTCAGACCATTATAAACACGTATGAAACGTTTTTCTTGTGAGCCATCAAAGTCCAGGTCATGAAATATATTTTGCCACAAAAACATCATTAGATTGATGGTTTTCAGCATCAATCATTAGAAGTTGATTTAAGACTTTCAGTAAAGAATATCATACCATACAGCATATTATTTCGAATAATTGCTTCGAAATTAAGTGGTAATATACTGGTATTTAAAGCCTTATTCAGAGACCATTAACTTGATCAAAAATTTGAATTTCATGGGCCATCGGCGCAGTGGATTAATTGAACTTTAGAGGTGTCAGTTCAAACCTCTTAACGCGACGCAAAATTTCTCTTATTGGTTGCTACTTCCTTCGAGCAAATGCGCTGGTGCAACCAGCCCAAAAAAGGTAGCAGTTAGTCGACCTGCGATTAATAGGAACAACACGGTGTTTTAGAATGGCCGTATCAGCGAGCGAAACACGCTACCGTTATGTCTGAGGCGTTCGCCTCACGGTTGCAGCGTACCTTTATCCTCCTGATAGCTAACTAAAATCAGCACATGGTGTAAATGTTAACAAAAGAGATAGAACTATAATGTTGCTGATCATCCTAAGCCATAAGAGAAAAGAATAAAAGATGTCAAGAGATGTCAGATGCTGTAGATGTAAAGAAATGCAAGCACAAGTATCATTCAAGCTGAAAGAATGCTTTTTACTGCCTGTGTTTTTATTGAAGATAAAGTAGACACCACAGTATGTTATTGTTTCATATTTTACAGTGCAGTTCTATCGTACTGCATTATTAAGATAATCTTATGTCTAGATCAGTAACAGAGATTAAATAACGCACAGCAATGCTGACTTCGACACCGCGTGAGAGCAAAATGGTCAGCTTATGTAAGAATCATTTTCGATAACATCCTAGAACCCAGTGTCTTCAAATAGACACTGCCTTTACGAAAACAAGATCGGCTTTATTTGATGCTCTGGCAAAGGAAGGAACGTTTATGTGATCTGCTATTTCTATGAAAATATCGAGAATGCTGTTCAGAATCAATAGATGTAGAACGAATGAAAAATATCGGCGAAAGCTTGTTATGAAAAATTTTCTATAGCCCATGTAATAATAAAGGATCCATGACAACTCACTGAACATGTGAAACGACATTAAATGCTAAAATCGAAAGGCTGTGCGCAAAAAAGACGGAAGGCGATACAGTTAGTGTTAAAATAGCAAACCAGAGCCCGTTGAATCGTTCAGCGCTCAGTGGTAGAGTCTAGGACTCATTTATGGATGGAGTGATGGCACCGTACCTACGATTTCGGCTTCGAACTCCGGAGGTGCCGGATTCGATTGCGGTGGAGGGAAATCTTTGCCGTAACTACGAATTCCTCTGAGCAAGGAATTTACGACACACTGTTTCAGATCGGGTTTGCTCTGTCGCGGCAGAACGTCCCAGTTTCAGGCCCCGGGGCGGGGTTACTCACCGTTTTTCCTTTTGAGTTTATTAAGTAAGTGTCAGCCTGTCGGAAGGGAACAAGACTACACGCTGTGCTTGCCATACAGCTACCGTTGACTCTGCGTTT